TCATGTATGGTATCACTCATGCGTGAAATCATGTGATCATCAACCCTGTTTTTCCCGGGCTTGTGCTCCTGTGCACGAGACGTATGCTTCAGATGTATGGCCTTTTTCCCGCTGCACGGCATCTCACGTGCAGAGTTTTTCCGCGTGCAGTGCTCTAGCAGCTTTGGGTTTTGTTGTTGTTTTTTATTATTCTCCTTGTCTTGGAAAGAGTTCATGGTGAACAGTGGTTGAATCCAATTCTAAGTTACTTCTCAGTTTAGCAGTGTCTTATGTCTGATATTCTTAGTGCATCCAAGATAATCCAAGATGGAGTTGGTGTTTTGAGAGTGAGAACTCGAACCAGTAAAGTTTGTCTCCATTGTTGAACGTGGGTTCGGAAAGTATCCGCAGTCGGTATTACAGTTACGGTACTGATGCAACCTGGTTCCGGGGAATACGGAACATAGTGGTCCTTCGAGCCGGATCACGTCCACGATGGAGAAGCTCAGGCGGAGTCAGCGCACGACGAAAGGCGTCGCAGCGCCAAAACTCGGGTACACAGACACCCAGCAGGGGCGTAGCACCCGCTACGACTGGTACGACCATGGCCGTACCACTTTTCGAAAAGTGTGGTCCGTCCGGAACGTGCAAAACCGTAATAAAAAAATCAGGATCCATCTATGCATATGCGCATCAGACTTTGACCTTTTTCTAGACTCGTACTCGTAGATCTGCCATGCATCTGTGCATGTCCATGCACGTCTCTTCTGCCCGTGAAATAATTCTATGACTTATAAACTGTGCCAGAAGTGTGCCAGAAGTTCCCAGAACGCATGATTTTGCGTCTTTTTTACAAAATTTTCCCGGGGGAGGGCCCCCGGACCCCCCTCCAAAACGGCCTTCGGCCGCGCCGATCTTTGGTCGTACCACTTCCAAAACCCCTCCTACGCCCCTGCCCAGTCCTACGCCGGTGCTAGTGGTGGAGATGACAGGATGACCGAAAGTAGAAGCCAAGCCGTCACCGCGAATTCAGCAGACAGGCTCAGCGCCAGGATAGCCGTGTTACAAGCGGAACAGGCTGTGGCGGAAAAGCGGCTGGAAATCGCCCGGTTGACGGAGCAGGCGATGTCGGAAGCCGAAGGGACGTTGAGGGAAAGGTCCGTTGAGACCTCCAGCTCTCCTGCGATGCGAGAAGAAGTCTTCCAGGAAGCGGGTGAGTTGCATGAGGCGGTTGCAGCCCAAGATACGTCGCTTATCGACTTTGACGATGATGTAGTTGCACCTAGTTCAGTTGCTGTTCCAACACCAACAGAGTCACACACGGTAGTCGGTGTAGAATCTCAGCCATCAGAAGGAGAGGCTTCCCATAGATCTACGCACGTAACGTCAGAATCAGCAGTAGGTCTACACCATGCAGAGGCCTGTCAGGCTAGCACACCACCACCGGTAGACGTAGTGATAGACGCACATGTAGAGAGGGACTCAGATGTCCAGCATGTCCGTGCATTCACTCCGGCACACAGCTACCACTACCAGGCACCGCCATGCGTAGTCCAAGATCCGATTCATGAACACCTGAATGAACCTCCGTTTCATCAACCAGAACCGCAGGCACAGGCACAGACACAGGTACTTCAAAGAACGATTGAACACACCACTGCTGTTGTAGCCGATGCCACTTACGCTGACTATCTAAGCGAGTCCATTCAGCGGGGAATAGGGCCCGAGCCCTGGGATAGGACATTCGTAGAGCGTCAGCAACTGCCGAGATCCAGTACTGGCAGTAGTCTACGCAGTGTAGAACGTGAGTTCCGGGCCAAGGAAGTTGCGTATCAGCAGCAACTACTACAGCTTCAGACGATGATCGATGAATCCGCGATCGTCGAGAAGCGGCGCCAGCGAGACGCTTACGCACTGCAGACGAACCTAGAGGAAGCTGAGGCGAGTAGGGCAATGGTCGAGCTAGCGTGCGACAAGCAAGCCAGGGATCTTGCGGCAGAACGAGAACGCAACGATGAGCTGGCCCGATCGATGACAGAGCTGAGGCAGCGGCTATTCGCAGCGGAGTATGCCCTACGAGAAAGCCGTGCCAGACAACGACGAGCGCCGAAGTCTGGTAGTGTCACTGAGCCTGTTAGAGAAGTACAAGGCTTACCGGTAGTGCAACCACAGCCTGCACAGGTCCACGAGGAGAGACGTGAGCGCTGCGAGTCGACCGCAAGCACAAGGCATAGCGGTATCCCGAGCACTACGTCACCCAGTCACCCACACGCATCCATGCCAGTACCCGCACCACGAAAGCACCGTCGCGACACGAGTGCACGTGCACGCGGCTACATGACAGTCTCAGACTCCGACTCAGAGTCAGGGCCACGTGGATACTCTAGTGCCAGAGCTACGGAGACGTGTACCGGTGGTAGGGGCGCAGCAAGTAATGCGAGTGAGGTCGAAGACGCGTACATGAGTGGTTGTACCTCTACTACCGGTACTATTACTGGCAGCACAGTTAACAGCAATCCTGCGCGTCAGATGGCAGACCTGGCCAGTGAGTTTGTAGGTGCAATCACCCAGGCCCTACGTCAAGGGCAGACCTCCCAGGTCGAGAATAGTAACGCTGGCATCAGACAGCTGGCTGCACGCCAGTCATCCACCAGCAGCAAGCTGCCAATCTTCTCTGGCAAGCCGGAGGAATGGCCCGCGTTCCTCGCGCTGTACCGAAGCAGCACGGAGCAATGCGCATACTCAAACGCAGAGAACGTCCAGCGCCTGCAGACCTGCCTGAAGGGACCAGCCCAGGAGGCAGTACAGCTGCTCCTGGCCGTGCCAGACAATGTAGACGAGGCCATCCGGACACTGGAGCGTCGTTTCGGCCGGCCGGAATTGGTAGTGAAACAGCTAATCGAGCAGGCCAAGGCGCTGAAGCCAGCCAGAGCAGAGGACACGGACGCCCTGCACTCCTTGGCCACATCTGTGAGGAACATCGTCCTCACTATGAAGCTGCTAAAGAGCCATGGCCACAGGAACAACCCTGCGCTCCGTGATGAGCTGGTGGCCAAGCTGTCGCTCCCCCATCGAATGCAGTGGGGCGAGTATGTGAAGGCCAAGGGCCTTAGTACGGATGAACTAGACCTTGGTGTCTTGTCTGAGTGGTTGGCCGAACGAGCGGAAGCCGCCTCTCTGGTGACACCAACCTCCACCAAGACGGCCGCCGTTCAGCCAACCCCACCGCCTAGAAGGTCAACGACCCTGGCCGCAGTAACAGCGGGCACTACCCGCGACGCCACCTCTGACTCCCCAAGGAAGAAGAGGAGCTGCAGGAAGTGCCTGGAAGAGCACGCAATGGCACAGTGCAAGGAGTTCCAACAGCTACCCGTCCAGAAGCGATCAGAGCTGGTGCGCCTCTTGGGCCTGTGTGTGAACTGTCTACAGGACGGCCACTTCGCCAGAAATTGCACCTCGAGCCACTGCAGGAAGTGCAAAGGCAAGCACAACACGCTGCTCCACAGGGACGACTCTGACAGGCCTAGCAGCGGTAGCCAACAAAACGCCGCTCGCACCAACACCGCGAATATGGCTTCTGCAGCGAGCGCCCTGCATGCCGAAACCCCAGCAAACCTACCAGCTCTGATGACGACTGTGGGGACAGTGAGATGTGGAGACGTCGAGCTACAAGCAACGATCATGCTGGATTCTGGGTCCACCTGCAGCTTCATCACCACCGACATGGCTGAGAAGCTGAATGTCCCACCCGGTGAGACCACGTCCGTGCGCACGACTGTTCTCGGTGGCAGCTGTCTGCAGCACGAGTCCAGGATCGCCCCCATAGAGATCTGTCACAAAGACTCAACTGCAACAACCCCAGTGCAGGCGGTCGTTCTCCCTCAGATAACCGCCGACATGCAACGTGTGGACTGGGATGCGCAGAAGGCAAGCTGGCCACACCTGCGCGGGATGAATCCGGATACCCCAGCTAACCCAACTGTGGACATCCTACTGGGCCTTGACGTTCCACAGTTGCACGCCTCGCTAGCCGAACGCCGTGGGCCTGGCCATGGTCCAATCGCAAGAAAGACACCACTCGGATGGATTTGTTTCGGTCTCCTGGAGGGGAGCGGAACATCGGCGGAACCAACCGTCCACCACGCCACACATGCCGCGACCGCAGAGCCCACCGAGCCAACCCTGGAGCTGAATGCCATGGTGCGTAGCATGTTCAATTTAGACACCATCCGCTCTACAGCCACGGGAGAGACCATGTCTCGAGCTGAGCGTGAAGCCGAGAAGGTGACTGACGACACCATGAGCCTCAACAACAACCGTGTCACCATTGGCATCCCGTGGGTCGCTGAAGACAGAAAGCCTCACGTGACCTCGAACAGACCGATGGCCTTACAACGACTGGCGAGTCTCCAACGGTCCCTGTACAAACGACCTGAGCTCGCAGCAGCGTACGCCGGTGTCATCCAACAGTACCTGACGAAGGGGTATATCCGCGAGGTACCCGAGACGGAAGTGCACAACGATGCGGATGACCAGTGGTTCCTACCCCACTTTCCCGTGATCAAGGAGGACCGCACCACCACCAAGGTGCGGATAGTGTTTGACGCGGCGGCCAAGAAGAACGACGTCTCGATCAACGAGGAGATGCACGCCGGCCCAGCACTACAGAACAACATCGTGAGTTGCCTACTCAAGTTCTGTAAGGAACCTGTGGCTCTGATGGCAGACATCAGCGAGATGTTCCTGCAAGTGGAGCTGGCTGAGAGAGACCGCAGGTATCACCGATTCCTGTGGGAGGTCGACGGAAGAGCCAAGGTGTTCGAATTCCAGCGAGTGTGCTTCGGGTGTAAGGCGTCGCCATACCTCGCCGGAAAGGCCGTCCAGGCTGTCGCGGCCACCTATGCCGCCGAAGGGTCACCCACACGACCCTGGCCGCAGTAACAGCGGGCACTACCCGCGACGCCACCTCTGACTCCCCAAGGAAGAAGAGGAGCTGCAGGAAGTGCCTGGAAGAGCACGCAATGGCACAGTGCAAGGAGTTCCAACAGCTACCCGTCCAGAAGCGATCAGAGCTGGTGCGCCTCTTGGGCCTGTGTGTGAACTGTCTACAGGACGGCCACTTCGCCAGAAATTGCACCTCGAGCCACTGCAGGAAGTGCAAAGGCAAGCACAACACGCTGCTCCACAGGGACGACTCTGACAGGCCTAGCAGCGGTAGCCAACAAAACGCCGCTCGCACCAACACCGCGAATATGGCTTCTGCAGCGAGCGCCCTGCATGCCGAAACCCCAGCAAACCTACCAGCTCTGATGACGACTGTGGGGACAGTGAGATGTGGAGACGTCGAGCTACAAGCAACGATCATGCTGGATTCTGGGTCCACCTGCAGCTTCATCACCACCGACATGGCTGAGAAGCTGAATGTCCCACCCGGTGAGACCACGTCCGTGCGCACGACTGTTCTCGGTGGCAGCTGTCTGCAGCACGAGTCCAGGATCGCCCCCATAGAGATCTGTCACAAAGACTCAACTGCAACAACCCCAGTGCAGGCGGTCGTTCTCCCTCAGATAACCGCCGACATGCAACGTGTGGACTGGGATGCGCAGAAGGCAAGCTGGCCACACCTGCGCGGGATGAATCCGGATACCCCAGCTAACCCAACTGTGGACATCCTACTGGGCCTTGACGTTCCACAGTTGCACGCCTCGCTAGCCGAACGCCGTGGGCCTGGCCATGGTCCAATCGCAAGAAAGACACCACTCGGATGGATTTGTTTCGGTCTCCTGGAGGGGAGCGGAACATCGGCGGAACCAACCGTCCACCACGCCACACATGCCGCGACCGCAGAGCCCACCGAGCCAACCCTGGAGCTGAATGCCATGGTGCGTAGCATGTTCAATTTAGACACCATCCGCTCTACAGCCACGGGAGAGACCATGTCTCGAGCTGAGCGTGAAGCCGAGAAGGTGACTGACGACACCATGAGCCTCAACAACAACCGTGTCACCATTGGCATCCCGTGGGTCGCTGAAGACAGAAAGCCTCACGTGACCTCGAACAGACCGATGGCCCTACAACGACTGGCGAGTCTCCAACGGTCCCTGTACAAACGACCTGAGCTCGCAGCAGCGTACGCCGGTGTCATCCAACAGTACCTGACGAAGGGGTATATCCGCGAGGTACCCGAGACGGAAGTGCACAACGATGCGGATGACCAGTGGTTCCTACCCCACTTTCCCGTGATCAAGGAGGACCGCACCACCACCAAGGTGCGGATAGTGTTTGACGCGGCGGCCAAGAAGAACGACGTCTCGATCAACGAGGAGATGCACGCCGGCCCAGCACTACAGAACAACATCGTGAGTTGCCTACTCAAGTTCTGTAAGGAACCTGTGGCTCTGATGGCAGACATCAGCGAGATGTTCCTGCAAGTGGAGCTGGCTGAGAGAGACCGCAGGTATCACCGATTCCTGTGGGAGGTCGACGGAAGAGCCAAGGTGTTCGAATTCCAGCGAGTGTGCTTCGGGTGTAAGGCGTCGCCATACCTCGCCGGAAAGGCCGTCCAGGCTGTCGCGGCCACCTATGCCGCCGAAGGGTCACCCACACGTACCATCATCATGGACAACCTCTATGTGGACGACCTACTCGCGTCTGCGCCAACGCCAGAGGCGGCGGTGGGCCTACGTACTGACGTCCAGGAGACACTGGCCAAGGGAGGCTTCCATCTACGGAAGTGGATGTCGAACAGTGCAGAGGTCATGAAGTCTGTGCCAGAAGCCGACCGGGCGCCGAACACGCTGATCTCGGTAGCTGACCACCAACACCCCACGCTACCCTGCGTGAAGACGCTAGGAGTCGCCTGGGATGCTGAGAGCGACCATTTCACGTTCAAGTACCAGGTGCCCGTCATCACGCAGTACACCAAGCGCACTGTCCTGAGCAAGATGGCCTCTCTGTTTGACCCACGAGGGCAAGTGTCACCATACACCATCCGAGCAAAGGTCATGTTCCAGGACGCCTGCCTCCGCGGGCTGGAATGGGATGAGGAGTTCGCAGAGCCCGAGGCTAAGGGTTGGAGGAAGTTCTTCGAGGAACTGCCCAAGCTAGAAGCCGTGAGAGCCACCAGGTCATTCAAGGACCCAGACCGGGATCCGGCCGATGCAGAGCTCAGCCTCCATGTGTTCGTTGACGCATCCGACGCAGCAGTCGCAACAGCAGTCTACGTACGGGCGAGTTATCCAGACGGCATGGCTCGGTCCACGCTGGCCATGGCCAAGGCTAAACCAGCCCCGCTACACCGACAGTCGATCCCCATGCTTGAGCTACGAGCAGCTGTACTCGGCGCCGAGGTAGTCGAACAAGTCGCCCAAGCCCTCGGCATCAGCTCGTCCGACATCACGTACTGGAGTGATAGCCTCAATGTCCTGTACTGGCTTCGCTCACACAGCCGCCGTTTCAAAGTCGAGGTGGGCAACAGGGTCAGCAAGATCCAAGCACTGTCGGACCCCCGTCAGTGGAGGCACGTTCCGACATCAATCAACCCTGCGGACAAGGGCACCCGGGGGCTATCTGCAGCCCAGCTCGCATCCGATGACGACTGGTGGCATGGCCCGAAGTTCCTACGCGGACCCGAGAGTGCATTCCCGGCGCGGCCGATCGAGGTTCCCAGTAGTCTGCCGGCAGAGCTGAAGAAGCGATCCGCTATGTCGTTCAGCGCGGTTCCAGGGAAGTACCAGCTTGACCCCTCCAACTTCTCGTCTTGGACGCGGCTCATCCGTATCACCGCTTGGTGTCAGCGCTTTGTACGTAACGTCCGTATACCGAGGGAGGCTGGCGCCAACAGACCAACACCCGCTCCACGACGCAAGTTTGGATCTGCCAAGTCAGTGAACGGTATGACAGTACCCGCTCTCTCCCCTGCAGAGGTCCAGGCGGCCGACGTGTTCTGGGTACGGAAGGCCCAGGAGGAGGTGTATGGCAAGGTCATCAAGCGACTGGAGTCCGGCAAGGAACCCGATCCCAACGAGCCATTGCTGAAGCTGCGACCCCAGCTGGAGGAGGTACATGGCACAACCGTACTGACGGTCGGTGGGAGACTCACCACTGCACACCATCTGCCGCTGACGACAAGACACCCCATCATCCTGCCACCGAAACATCGGGTCACAGCCCTGATCGTGGATGACGAAGACGAGAGATGTCAGCACTCCATGGGTCCCAACCACCTGCTGGCCAACCTCAGCAACCGGTACTGGCTGATAAACGGGAAGTCCGTTGTGCGACAGCATCGCCACAGGTGCGTCAAGTGCCGACGAGGCTACGCGAAGGCTTTGACTCCAATCATGGGAGGGTTGCCGGATTACCGGACCTCGTCACCACTTATCGCCTTCAGCAAGGTGACCATCGACTTTGCCGGTCCATTTCTGACGCGCCAGGGACGAGGCAAGGTGCAGCAGAAGCGGTATATCTGCGTATTCTCGTGCCTGCTGACCAGAGCGGTACATCTGGAGCCCGTCAACTCGCTCGACACAGATGGGTTCCTGATGGCGATGACCCGATTCTGCAAGAGGCGTGGAACCCCGGAGTTCATAGTGACAGACAACGGGTCGAACTTCACCGCCGCAGAGCGACAGCTGCGCGAAGCCACCTGCACGATAGATCAAGACCGCCTAACCACCCACTCCGAGCTGCGAGATGTACAGTGGCATTTCAACCCACCGAGAACGCCCCACTTCGGTGGTGTAGTAGAAACGATGGTCAAGGCAGTCAAACGCGCACTCTGGCATGTGCTGCACCAGGCTGGCCTCACGGATGAGGAGTTCTCAACAGCGCTGGTACATGCCGAGGCAATGCTGAATTCCCGTCCCCTTACCACCGTATCATCTGACAGCGACGATCCAGAAGCGTTGACGCCAAACCACTTCCTGATGGGACGCGCGGCTGCAGTCACACACCTCGAGGCGGAGACAGAGGATCTGGAGAAGGTCCACCCCAGACGGCGCTGGCTGTTTCTACAAGTGCTGACAAGGCAAGTTTGGAAGAGGTGGCTGCGCGAGATGGTCCCGGCGCTAAACGTCCGGTCCAAGTGGTACAGGAAGGCAAAAGACGTCGAGGAGGGTGAGGTCTTCCTTGTCATGGATGAGAGTACTCCGCGCGCGACATGGCCTCTGGGACGCGTCACAGCCACATACCCAGGGCAAGATGGTGTCGTCCGTGCAGTCAACGTGAAGATCAAAGGCAAGGAGTATCGACGATCAGTTCATCGCCTCATCCCACTGGAGGTAACAGAGGGTGAGGTGGAGCTCGACTCCGAGAACTGCCCAGCCACAGCCAACGTCAATGTGGACAATGTCACCAGCTGAGCGAATAGTGGATGGTGGTACGGCAGTGGCGATGAGGTAGTAAGGCTGTGACTGTAGTGTTAGCAAGCAATCCACAATCAGAGTGAACAATACATCCAACCGGCTAGATAAGACGTATCCTCGTTCCCGGATATGTCTAGTGACATTACGGCATGCATTTGACACAATGATGTTAGGTGTGACATCCAATAGCAGTTCCCCAGGAGTTAGAACATCACTCGGAATATTAGTTTGTCTCACTCGCATACATTGATTAGGCTATGATTCGTTCGCGAGGGAGGTATGTCGGAGTCGTGGTGACGCCTGGTACCGTTCATGTATGATTTATGTGTCTGTTTTCGCTACAATCATTCTCTAGTTCTGTAGGTCATGTATGGTATCACTCATGCGTGAAATCATGTGATCATCAACCCTGTTTTTCCCGGGCTTGTGCTCCTGTGCACGAGACGTATGCTTCAGATGTATGGCCTTTTTCCCGCTGCACGGCATCTCACGTGCAGAGTTTTTCCGCGTGCAGTGCTCTAGCAGCTTTGGGTTTTGTTGTTGTTTTTTATTATTCTCCTTGTCTTGGAAAGAGTTCATGGTGAACAGTGGTTGAATCCAATTCTAAGTTACTTCTCAGTTTAGCAGTGTCTTATGTCTGATATTCTTAGTGCATCCAAGATAATCCAAGATGGAGTTGGTGTTTTGAGAGTGAGAACTCGAACCAGTAAAGTTTGTCTCCATTGTTGAACGTGGGTTCGGAAAGTATCCGCAGTCGGTATTACAGTTACGGTACTGATGCAACCTGGTTCCGGGGAATATTGAACGTGGGTTCGGAAAGTATCCGCAGTCGGTATTACAGTTACGGTACTGATGCAACCTGGTTCCGGGGAATATTGAACGTGGGTTCGGAAAGTATCCGCAGTCGGTATTACAGTTACGGTACTGATGCAACCTGGTTCCGGGGAATACGGAACATATGGAACTTGACTTTCTTCATTTTTTGCTGTTGTTATGAGTGCACAATTTATCTTATTTATTGCCATTTTACGACTATTGTCTCCTCGTCGTTTGTTAAATGCTTTATTATTATTATTTTTATTATAATACTCATAAAAAGGACACACTTCAGGCTCATTACAAACATCTTGAAAGTTTTTGTCTTCACAAGTATACTTTCAAGCCTTCTCGTCAGGTGAAATACAGGCAAGGTAAAAGGAACAGGAACAGTGGATTTAATACAGTAAGAAGGTGGTAAAACAGCGCAAAAACAAAAAAGAAAGAAAGAAGATAGCTAAAGTAAACAGCGAAAATTGCAATAATGACACAAAGGTGCAAATGCGAGAAAACTCACTAAGCGTTACATGTAGTGCGACAACAAGAGACAACCACTGGACATACATGTAACTAACGAGGTTTTGACGACCTACCTAACAGCCTAACCCTGACGAGAAGGCTTGAAAGTATCCTTGTGAAGACAAAAACTTTCAAGATGTTTGTAATGAGCCTGAAGTGTGTCCTTTTTATGAGTATTATCGCATTTTTGTCTCAGAGGAAACTGTTTATTATAATAGGTATAGCAAAAATCTATGGGAGTCAATAGGGAGTGATAAAGAACAACAAGGCTTTTTGCTGCTACATGTACATGTACATGAACATTGTACATGTTGAACATTGTACATGTTGTACATGACATTGTAGTTCATGCTCTCGCAATCATCAGGCAACATGGCACATGTACACTGTACACTGTACAGTACAATGACACATACACATACATGTACACACATGCATTGTATGTTCCATGGGTAACCATGGTAACTGCATGATTGTGCATGTACAGGGGGGGGCTGGGTAAAATAAAAATTTATGCTCTTCGAGTCTACCAACCGTGGATTTGGATGGTTGTAGTAAAGTCACTGTTTCCGAACACGGACGGTGTCCTCCAACTTACAACCTGTCAACCAACATGAACAACAATAGTCAATACAATGACTTTATGTACTGTTGTACAATCATCAAAATCATGTACAACCATGTACAGATGTATCTATGGCTATGAGTATGACTATGAAAGTATGATCCTTGCCCAAGCTACATGTTCATGTCGCTGTGCACATGTGCCTGCTGGGATATGGATGTGAACTCAACTGGTACATGTACATGTCATCAGCTAGATTATCTACTAGTACTAGTAGTAGTACAGGTATTGACACTATTGTACTCCCGGCCCTGCATGTCATCTGGTCATGGTGCTGGAAAACCTCGATACACTCATCATACAGCTAGAGTCGAGAGTAGAGTGGCACCTACTGTACTACTAGTACTAGGAGACCCAGGTGCTCGAAGTCCGTACACTTTTACAGTGTGTGTTTGCCGAGCTGAAACTCGCACTAGCAATCATCACTTGCCAGAATCCTGCTCGTGGATGGAAGGTATCTTGTCTAAGTTTGTTCTGAGGCCAGGCTCGATTGAACCAGGCCATCTTTCGATCCGATCTGAGTGCACTGACAGAATGTCGACATCAGTCGACAGCTACATGTACATGTAACATGTACAGTGTAGATGACACAAGTAACATAGTAATACTTAGTTAGTTACACTTACAGTACCAGGTAGTCAATGTGTAGCTCCACGTGACATGGTGCTATTTTCCCCCGTCAAACAGAGACATGTATGATGTACAAAACGCACTTGTTCTAGTTCTACCTAATCCTTCACATCAGTCAGCTTAGAGACGTAGATCTACGTCTAGAAGTTCACAGACACAGAAGAAGAAGAAAACTACCAAAACTACCCTGTCACTTGACGCTACACGCGTGCACGGTATCATTGAGACATGTATGTACATACTACAATAAAATTTTAATTATTGTAGTACTCAGAAACTACGCAGTGCAACGTCATTGTGACTGTACTATACCTGTAGCTGTGACTGTGTACACCGAACAGTAAAAACAGAATGCACACAATAAGTGAATAACAGTGCACATGATCGTACGTGCAGACGTCTACCATGCATGGTCTACGGTCTAGACGTGCACGGCGTCCCATGATGTAGATGTATGAACATAGTCATTGAACACCACGTAGAGTACTAGTACTAGGCCCATGGGCATGGACGCATGGGAGATGTCCAATCACCGTGATCTTGGTGATCACTGGCGCAGGTGACACAAGAAGCTGTACTACTAGTACTGTACTAGCTGGTGGCGGTGCGGTGATTTGGCCTTTGACTCTCTTTGACAAGTGCCGCGCTCTGCAATCATCGTGCATATTTTAGTCCAGTGCATGCTAGCATGCAGAAGACTGACGTGACAGCCACGTACATGCTGCCAGGTAAAATACATGACTCGTAAGCACTTCACCTACACTACAGCCAGTACCTCATTCTGCCAGGACATCATTCTGCCAGGACATCATTCTGCCAGGACATCATTCTGCCAGGACATCATTCTGCCAGGACCTCATTCTTATCTGCCCTGGTACAGCCCAGGTCAGAGAAATCCAGCCTCCTGAGCATAACCATGATAACAGCGCCAAGGCGCTACGCGGCCATGCACCACAAACACCGCGCGCTGCTCAGGTTCTTGACTTGAGCGCGGCGCTACTTGAGGCATGATGTCGGATTTCTTTCGGGAGAACTGTAGAAGCTGCTGCACTATTACTTTAGTATTACTAACAGTTTACCTTCTTGTAGTGTACTTTTAGTTGTATTTAAAATGTTGTACTATAATATGCATCGCAAACTAAGCGGGCATATATTGTATCTAACTCTTCATAAGTTCCCCCTAGTCTCTCTCTCTCTCTCTCTCTCTCTCTCTCCTCTCTCTCTCTCTCTCTCTCTCTCTCTCTCTCTCTCTCTCTCTCTCTCTCTCTCTCTCTCTCTCTCTCTCTCTCTCTCTCTCTCTCTCTCTCTCTCTCTCTCTCTCTCTCTCTCTCTCTCTCTCTCTCTCTCTCTCTCTCTCTCTCTCTCTCTCTCTCTCTCTCTCTCTCTCTCTCTCTCTCTCTCTCTCTCTCTCTCTCTCTCTCTCTCTCTCTCTCTCTCTCTCTCTCTCTCTCTCTCTCTCTCTCTCTCTCTCTCTCTCTCTCTCTCTCTCTCTCTCTCTCTCTCTCTCTCTCTCTCTCTCTCTCTCTCTCTCTCTCTCTCTCTCTCTCTCTCTCTCTCTCTCTCTCTCTCTCTCTCTCTCTCTCTCTCTCTCTCTCTCTCTCTCTCTCTCTCTCTCTCTCTCTCTCTCTCTCTCTCTCTCTCTCTCTCTCTCTCTCTCTCTCTCTCTCTCTCTCTCTCTCTCTCTCTCTCTCTCTCTCTCTCTCTCTCTCTCTCTCTCTCTCTCTCTCTCTCTCTCTCTCTCTCTCTCTCTCTCTCTCTCTCTCTCTCTCTCTCTCTCTCTCTCTCTCTCTCTCTCTCTCTCTCTCCTTTCTCTCTCCGTCATTCCTCTCGTCCGTCCCCCCCCCCCCCAATTGTGCTTGCTATGTACGCCGATCCCGAGACCTTTGGTGGGGGGGGAGTCCACCGCACCTCACCAGCGCCGCTCATGTAGCGCCTACAGACCCATGGTCGTTTTTTTGTTTTGTCTTCGTTTTGTTTCCCCCTCTTTTACTAGAAGTATGTGCACTGTTGAGAAAATTGAACTACATGTAAGTAACCAACTTAGTTACTTGCTCACTGGCAAAACTAATACAGATCGCGTGGGTCTCCCCGAGAGAGGGGAGCTGGAGATAGATTCAATCCAAAGGAAATCTTTGAAATACATGTATGACTCAATTCATTGGCTATTACTAGTAGTACTAAGTAGTAATTTACTACTTGAGTACATTCTCAACCCGTTACCATTATGTGTTCTCAGCCCACTTAACTTAATGCACGAAGCATACTGTATAACTACATGTATAACTATAAGTACACATTTTCTTTCACGAAATCTTTCGTTAGATCACTCCACCAGCAGGTTCGTTACGTACTAAATTTCGTTTTTGGTCGAGGTCTGTCACCCCGAACGTTCAGAAGGGGTCACTTT